AGATAAATCTGTTGCTAAAAAACACCGGAAACTCGCCTCGTAGTAAGCGAACTAGGATAGTTTCGTATGTCTTTCCGTCCTTTAATGCTTGTACTAGAAGATCTCCCGCGGCATTTATACCGAGCTCGACTTTATAGCTACTAAACTTTCTCTTTACGGAGAACCGCATTCTAGGGACTACAGTTAGCATTACCTCTACTAAACTCTAGCCGAAAAGAGTGGTATATAGGTCGTTCTTATACTCTTTCGGAGGACGAGCTAGGGGTGTACTATTTACGAGTAGTTCGCTAGTAAGGAGATTATAATGTACCCTTAATAAACTAATTCCCGAAGCCGGAGCCGTGGTCGTCGTAAGCTAAGAGTTAGCCCCTTCTACTATCGTCTACGCTACGCCTAGTCGATATGCCGGCTAAGCTATCTTTACTACGTTATTAATGCCTCTCGAATCTAATGTAATAATCGAGTAGCTACGGTAGAGGAGACGCTTAAATCGTAGGAAGAGTAGAGTAAACAGCGGATCGGAAGGGACGCTCTATGCTCGGCTCCCCTCTTAAAACGCGATCGAGCATTATACAAGTTTAGAAACGTTATCGGGGTACGCTAGAATACTAGTAAGGTGTCTATCGTCGATGTCGTAGGTAGTCGTATAGATTAGAGCAGCCTCGACGCTCTTTATAACAAAGGTCGTGCGGTTATTATTATTGTCTGCTTAATAGGCTTTGTCTCGTAAAAGAATAACCTAGTTAAGTGCAACTTAACGAGCTACTTTTAGGAATGCTAAACAACCGTCCTACACCTCCGAGACTACGTTAAGAGAGAGTAGGCGGGCTCTAATAGCGATAAAAAGAGTTAGTGCATTTAAAGACTCCTAATTCTCCTTTATGCGCTACAAAGCCCCGTTTAGCTACTCGGTTAGGGTAAGGGCGAAGTTTCTTTAGGCTAGAGAAATGTATGTCGGCCGTAGAGCATTATTACTAGCGGGCCTAGTCTAGTACAAGCATTACAAAAATATAAGAGTCGTTTCCGATTTCTTAAAGTCTACGGTTAGGGCCGTAAGCTATAAGAGGATGTTTCTCTACTAAATATTATAGCTAAGAGGGACTGTGTAAAGGTCCTTGTATTCGCTAATAGACATGTTCTCCGGACACTTATTCTACTTCGCTATAACTTAATTCGGAGGTAGCCCGTTAGGCATATACGCTAGTCTAAAGATAAACTCCCTTAATAATCGCGGAACTTTATACACATAGATTCGCTTATTCCTCGAATTAAAATCGAGTCCTAACACAAACTTATTGTTATCCGCGTTAAAGTACCGGTAATCCATCCCATTCTTATAGCAAACATCTTTTTTGCTAGAGGTTCCGATCGGCTTAGCTTTTCGATAAGTTACGATGTTAGGCTTGTTTTAAGAAAGTAGGCCGATACGTCGTGTTCGTATACCGGTAAAGTACTAGTCCGTAAGATGGGGGTCTTAGGTAAGCTTATTTGTGGCTTTTAGTAACGAAGTGGAGTATTTACCCTTTAGAGTATTACGTAGGAGGCATGTTCTAGCGTCACGCTAAGAAGCGTACTACTTAGGCACCTAGAGCTCGAAAACCACAACTTTTGTCTTCGTAACGCTATATAGAAGAGGCTATTCGTGGATTTCGATCGTGAGATTGTCCGCCTATTAGATATAGGAACATTTCCTGCATTTACTAGAATGCCGAAGACCTCTCTCTTAGGTCCATCTATCTAAAACGACTTCTACCTCTTCGTGTACACATTCTTAGGAGAGAGTCGTAAGACTAGCATACGTTCTCTTCTTCTCCGCGAACTCGTCGAGCTTCTCCTGCTTTACGACCTCCGCCTCGGCATTAATCCGTACGAGGAGGACTTTATGTTAATAGGATTAATCGAAATATTTCGCCGCGAAACACAGCTTTTCGGAGGCTTTAAACAGGAGCGAAGCGGGGTACGAAGCTTCTACCGAACGTCGAGAGTAGTAGTTTTCGATAAGAGCAAGTCTCTTTATTTAAGCGCTAAAAGGAAGTAAGATGTTCTAGAGAACATCTTGCGGAACTCTAGTTTTGTATTAACGAAGTAGAGTACAAGCTTATACCGCAGTCTTATCGTAGGCAGTCTAAAGCTCTATAATAGTTAGTAGCATAACGGACATTACCTCGGGATTACTAGAGTATGTTTACTAGGCAAAGCGATAATACTCGATAAGTAGGCGGCCTAGTTAGCTATACACTTGCTTATTATTAATATTAGACTACGTCCATTATGTTAGATATGTGGCCACCTATCGCTTAAAAGCTTGCAAATTAGTAGCAATGTAATCGTCGCTATTAGAGGCTATTATCGAGAGATTAGGGAGGATAGATAGAGTATAGTAAGCTAATTTATTACACGGCGTAAACTAGATAGTTAGACTCTCCGTCTAGCGGGTACGTAAGGCGTTAATGTACTCGTCTAGCATAGGAACGTTTACTAGAGTATTACGCTTAAAGTTTAGATTAGACAGGCGGAAGAGATTAAGAGAACGCCGGTCCTACTATTAAATAATCGCCTAACGCTACGAGATAATGTCCGATGCGGTCCGTATAATATTATGGACATACGTAAGAAGTCCGGGAGATAGTTCGGGGCTATCGCTAGAGTAGTGTAACTTTTGCAACCTCCTCGCTATCTTGGCGTTTATTACATAGATTATGTCGCTGTTAAGATCGAGCGAGACGGAGTACTAGAGAAGGTGGCTTAGAAGATACACTATAAACTACTTGTAGAGTGAACTAGATCCGCGGTCGTTACGAGAGAGGCTTAGCTATAAAGCCACGCGGACGAGAAGCTAGAGTAGCGACCTTCGCTATAGATTTTTAGATTTGCACTATAGCACTTCATCTCGGGTGTACTTCGTAATAGTGTTAATATTAGTAGTAGTACTAGTTGCCTTTAAGACTCTAATAAAGAGCTTAGAGATAATACTAGGATAAGTGGTGTTACGATATTCTTCGTAACTGTCGCTAACTTTAGTTACTACTAGTTGCATTCCTAGAGCAGCCTAGCAGCTTATAGTAGCTAAAGTTTAAGCGACGACCGTTTAGAAGTTCGGAAGATCTGCAACCTTGCTATCTATAGACACGGCTAATCCGGGGAACGTGCGTATAAGCCTTCCCTAATTAGCTATAACGGAATAATTCTTAGTAGAGAGTTCGAACTGCTCGAAGATAGTAGCATTACGGGTCTAGTTAACTAAGACCCCTACGTTCTAAGCTTGTATATATAACAAAAGTGGCTAGCGATTCTCGAGAGCCCTCTATATAGCTCCCTCGTCTATATAGTAGTCTCCTAGCGTGTAGACGACGCACGCGGTCTCTAGTAGCAAGATAGATGCTTAGAGAGCCGAGTAGTACGCCGGAGCAAAGTTAAGGAATGCTACTAACGATTCTCTCGTTAGTCTTAACAGATTAATCTTATTAAACTCCTTAGAGTTATCCCTCTACGGGAGCTAAGGTAGAAGGACGACATAGTTAATAATACACCGAAGTGCTTAGCTAGAAAGGCTAGGAACTATAACAGGCGGAGGTAAGGTTTATTAGAATAATACAATTTAGTAGTAATAATCTTTCGACGAGGTAAGACGATAACATTTATACACTAAGGAAGCTTAAAGGCACGCAAGTGCTAACATTAGGCATAAGTGGAGGGAAGACTATATTATAGGCATCCTACGTTAAGCGATAGACGGAATAGGAGGAACCGACTTAAAGTCTTATACTACGCACTTAATGGAGGTCGCTAACGTAGAGCGATACCTACGTCGACTAGGTATATCTATTTCGGAATCTCGCTAGCATTTATTATATATAGCGTTTCCCGGCGAGGCCCTCTCGTTAACTGCCTAGTAATATAATTAGCAGAACTATATTGTTAAGACATTACACTTGTAAATTAATAAAGTTTAAGTGGATTTTTCCTTCTAGGTTATAGGCTAGCGTACGATAAGTTAGCAGGAAGTAACTACGCAAGGTATGGATCTAGGAAGGTGTTGTTAAAAGAAAGTTAACTCGGCAATTAAAATCTATAGCTCGATTAAAGCTCCTATCCTTCTTAGTTCCGGGGGTTCCGACTCGGCAGATTTAAAACTTATATAAGCACGACTTTAATCCCGCGTAGCGTGCGATTTAAGGAAGCCTTCCCTAAGATTTCTGCTAGCTAACTAGGCGTCTATCGTATGCAATTCTAGGGACATCTACTAATTAAATCACACATAAGGCTAGCGATAGACTGACTTTTACTAGCGCCGGGCGACTTTTTAATCCGCAAAGAGGGTCTCTAGAGACCTTCTACCTAAAGCGAAGTAAGCGAAGCACTAGTACTATAGTATAAGACCCCTAACATTAACTACACTAATCTTTCTCTTAGTGGTCTTATAAGCTTATAATTCACCCTTCGGGCTCCTTTTAGATATTAACTACTTTATTATCGTGCTAACTTATTATATAATATTGTCTAGCTACTAGACGTAGCTTCTTAGACTTAGGGTGTAGGAGCCCTCTATCTCGAACATATAGTAGCACCTAACATAATAGTATCTAGGTCGCGGTACGAGTAATCCGTAACCTCTCTACCGGTGAGTTAAGCGGCTACTTATCGCGCACTGCTATATAGGTGCATTAAGAACGTAATATACATTAAGTTTTACAACCGCTATCCTACTATTGTATCTAATTACTCGCTATTGCTGTGTCTACTACCTTAGGACGACTAGTTAACAGAGATAAACTGTTAGGCTATGCTCGACTTCTATAGAAGATATACGTATTAGTCTACGCTTTAGCGTTTAACATACATCGTCCAAGTTCATCTTATGTCGTCTATAACTCCTAAGCCAGAGCGTTACCCTGTATCTTCTAGATATCCGTTCCCCATTCCACTAACTTGTCGCCGAAGTCTTTAAGAACACTAATCGCAGTCGCATCGTTTACATCGATGGCGTCTCTAGACTCCTGCTATGTCCCAAATGTCGCTAGCTTCCACGTTCGCCTCCATTCTTCTGTGGCCCGAACCGCTTCAATGTGCAAAGGACGAATGTGAGACGCAACCATGTAGAATGAGGATCGAGTGGTGTGCGCTTTTAGCGGCTTAAACAGTCTCACATTCGAGAACTTGCTGAATTGATGGAGTAGGCGAACAGTCCTCCACGCCTCAACTTTGTGTAAGAGCACGCTCATTGTTCCGCCTTCTTTGAGGTTTCCGAGACCAAGTGCAAGCTGAGTAGTCGTTAGTCTGCTTGCTTCTCGCGCCTCTCGATATGACGCCCGAGCATGAGTGCGAAGGACTTGRGCGTCGCAAATTGCAAGGTCGAACATTCTTTTGTCTTGGGTAAACGCTCGTGGAAGGAAATTATGGGCTTCTTCGTGATCGTTCGGGACGTTCGTTACACCCATGTCGGCAGCGAACATAGTAATGTCTATGAATCTGACCTGAACGTTTTCGGTGGAAGGGAGGAGAACCTTGTGTCCTCCATCACTAGTAGGCAAGGTAAAAGCCAGAGCGCGAGACCCGGCATTTCTGCGTAAGGCTATGCTCAGAAAGCCTCCTGGAGCCATGCAGAAGTCCACAATACTGGCGGCTCTTCCGCTGTACTAGCTCTTGAAATGAGAGATCCGCTCGTTTCAAGGTCGAGCTCCCGCCCATTTCTTTTCATCATCTGGTATAAGCGCTTTGCAGCGACTACGTTAGCAGTCACTGCGTTAGCGGCATCTGCCTTCTGGCGTTGCTTTCCGAAGGCTTTGTCGGCATCTGGATTGTTCCAACCCTAACAACAAACTTCAATTAGCACGTTTTCAGGCATAGCGGGATTTCGTATGTCAAGTTAAGGTCAAGACTGACTCTGATCAAGGCAAGATGAAGGAGGTGAAAGTCTTAATCCGCTGGGCAGCTGACGAGCGCTGTTGCGCAGCGAATCATGTTAGAGGTTGCAGCGAGCTCAGGCCTCCCGATCTTCCGAGGATGCCCCAACCGCCCGCTTGCCTTCACCCTCTTCTCCTTCGACATCATCGACGGAACACCTCATTCGCATCCATCACGCTGCTTTGAAGACCTTTGTTCGATTGGATCACTCTTGTGACTCACACGAGTGCATGATMTCCTGAAGCCGATTCGCGTCCACCCCGTAGAGGTGGACGCGTTGGGCAGTACTGCTCGAAATCAGATCCGAGAATTGTCGACAACGCATTGGTTGGACATGGAAAAAGCTCACTACTGGTTTAGGAGAGGAGCCACTAGGTCCGATGCCTGAGCTACCTAGCGTGAATGCTCTCTATAGTCGGGCTATCCAGTAGCGGGATTTCGCTTGCATAATATGATTCGGACTTCGCCGAGACATCGGAGCAGTCTTTTTAGAATGTTTGCAATCAGAATATGGGGATGTCCCAGGCCAGTAGGGTATGGGATTCCATTCTGCTCACAACCCTCCTGTAGGAGTACGCTTATGTCACACGCTTTCTAGGATATCTCGCTCGTTCTTAGAGCCATGGCCACAGCAGATTCTGAAGCACAGGTGGTAAGCCGAAAGTGATCATGATCTCCAAGGGACTTAATGAAATCTTCAGTCGTGTTCTGTAAATCCACAAGCTAGCCAGTGACGGCTGTCACAACTTCCAGTCTATCCATTCTTGAAGGTCCATGCCTCTCACCGCAAGCGGAACTCATGAATTCGTGATGCATTTGTTTACAGTTCAATTCAATCTATGAAGTACTTGGTTCAATATGTCCCATGATGATACATGATCACCCTTCATTGTCCTCCTGAATGTCTCATCTTTCATCATACTCTCCAAGTTACAGCAAACATAACGAGTGATAAGGGATCGTAAGTCGTCCGTTGATCCTTCGCGTTCCGCCGTGTGCTCGTAACAATACTGAAGTAGTGAGGCAATGTCCGAGACTCGCTGTTCAAAGAGCGTGAATTGCACTAAGGTGTTGTGTAGCTTCTGAAGCGAGAGCGACCGCAGATTGTTGATGTCATATCTGTCTGCAAAGACATAGATCTTTGCATGAGAGAGAAACACGTCGGTGTAACCTTCATAAGCTTCTTGGTTCGCTCGCGGTGCAGAATCTGGCCGCGCAGCGCAGACCTCAAAGGAGATAGACTGAAATTCCCGCCACGCTCTCTGCTGCGAAGTCATGGGCTTCTTCCGGGTTTTTGTCGTCGTCGTCGAAAACGCGGTCCAGGGATCGTGCTCATGCGCTGGGAGTGCATCTTTCATCGTAGTGGATTGCTCGGCATGCACTGGCTGTTCTTGCAGCTCTGGTGGCAGAGCTGAGTCTCTCACTTGGTCGGCATGTTGTTGTGCAATGGCGCCGTCGTCTAGCAAGAGCAAGGGCTCCGCAGCCGGATACTCGCCAGTGTAAAGGTACTCCACGAAGCGGGCAAAGGTGTCCCCATCGACATCGTCGATCGATGCGTAGCCATTTATAGCTTCTTGCATGCTGCCATTCATGAGGACACTCAAAGGTCGCGAGTGGTGAGATATGAGGGTTGGATGCACGAAAAACTCGTACTTCTTGACTCCAACGAGAAACCTGAACGGTTTGCACTGTATGATGCTGTTGAATGTCAGATGTGATACTCCTAATGTGCAACAACGCCGCTACCTTTTGAACTGAAGTCCTTCCATCATGGCGTTCTAGTAACCTATTTTATTTGGTGCGATAGCTGAACAATGTAGAGTCGGAGGCAGTGCAAGTCGGATGATACCAATTCAGGCAGCGGTTTATATTTGTAAGAGACACCGGTACCATCGGCATGCTTCCTATTGGTGAGAACAAGCACCAGTTCAAATCGTCCTTGCCGCTGCGTTTCACACTGCCAACTAACACGAAGCTGCCACGTACCACCATGCATGCTATGAGAACAGGCAGGGGGAATCGCAGGCATGCTGCAAGTAGCCTTTACATGGATCGATCGGCACTTTCTTGAAGGTAGTCATTAGCGCTCCAGGATGCTGTTGTCTTCTAAGCCTTTCCCATTCTATGAGTCGTCATCCAGAGGCTGTGGGGCGAACAGATCTTTGGAGGGAGTAATATAACAATCTACATGGTTCTCGATGCGTTCTGATATATTTGATTGAGGCCTTACCGTGTAGCAATGTATACATGCACCACTCTGCCCGCCACTGCGTTATTAGCCAATCGCTTCTCTCTTGACTATATTTATAAAGTTCATCCTCGATGCAGCGCTGTAATAACTTCCGGTACCGCTTAATCCGCACTCGTTAGAAGGAAACAAAATTTTCAAATAGCTTGTTTTCGAACGCAAGGCGATCGGTTTAGAACGCTAGCACTAACACCCTTACTACTCGGATCCTTTCCCGCGGGGAAGCTAGAGAGCCCTACTACTAATATTAGTACTACACCGCCCTCTAGCACCCCTAAATTAAGACCAATTTAGTCCATTTTAGTCCTATATCGTTTATACTATGTCGGTAAGTAGTCCGTATAAAAGGTGTTGTTTTAGCTRTTGTTTTAACGCATTATAGGAACCTCTAAGGGCAACTAGCAAACGGCTAGATAACGCCCTTTACTACTAACTACGCATTGCCTTCGACACTACCGATAGTAGTAACCGCGTAATTAGCAAGGCCTATAGTGTTTCTTATCTAACAATTAGTAAGATACGCCTCTCTTACGAGCTGTTTAGTACGCCCTATCCACCTAGAGGTGTCCGTATTAGCCGTCCGCCGTTCCTTACACTAGATTAAGAGGACTCTTTCCTATAGTATATGTATTCGTAGCCGGACGCCTACGCGGATAAGATAGCTTAGTRGATATTCGACAACACTAGCGTAGTGTTTAGCGACCGTAGCGTRTACGCGCTATTAGTAAGGCGTRGATAGACTCGTAAGGTTGCTAGAAGCATCGCTAGAGAGCGTAATAAGGCATTACGGTCGYATTAGCGCGCGAAAAGCGCCGGTTAGAGGCGTAAGRACCTAGTGTTTATCGACGAGTTAGCTTRTAACGAGCGGAATAGCTATAGGTAGGTTATTGTCGCTATAAGGATAAAGCTRTAGTAGTTACGAAAGTTAGTGTTTTAGCTTAACTAATAAYACACTTAGGAAGTACTCTTAGTTACTAATTAGCTATCCTATAGATACACAATCGCTAACTAAACGCTCTAAACGGTAGTTACTAGTACCTACATTTACGATAAACGGCTACCTCGATAGGCCGTTATTAAAGTAGGGAGCTATTACCTCTAAAGACATCCTTAACTAGCTAATTTATGTTGTTTTGCCTTAACTACTAACTAGTATAATCCTTATTATAGACAACGCTTTAATCTACCGTAATAAAACGATTAAACAGGCTATTCGATAGGCTAGTTGCTTCCTAGAGCTATTACTACCGTACTCTCTAGACTATAACCCT